CTAAAGTAAAACCTATCATTAATATCCCCTGCAAAGAGGTGAGGTGATGTAATGGTTAAGATTAGTGGTGGGTTGCTACTGGTTTGCCCCAGATTGGGCAAACCAGTAGTGGCGGCTGGAGGCTCCACCCACTCGCCTGGACATCTCTGCACATGTGCGAGCATCCACGCACCCACAAGTGAACCGATAGTGATGGGATTTGAATCCCACTATTGGTTAAGATGTCAGTCTAAGAGCAGGAAAACTCAAATCCAGTGTCAGATATGGAGATTCATTGATGACTGTGGGACATTCTCTCTCGTAGCTCCTTGCATTTTATTTGTTTTCCGTGCTTATACAAATAGCTAGCTATATAATTTAACAAAATAATAATAAATGTTGTTTTCTCAGGTGGAGGCCCGGTCTATCTTATCTGCAAAGTACATCAATAATAACTTAAACTCAGAAGTGAAATGCTCCCGGTTTGGACCGGATCGCACAATACGGTAGCAATGGAGGCGGGTGGTTCGGAGAACCAGTAGCAAAAATCCCTCCCCCCTGCCCAGCTGAGCCGCTCAATCATCAGAGGCTTTTTGTTAATTATTTTTAAAAGCATTTTTTCTACAACCTCTTTGGCCGAAAAAATGCTTTTAAAAGTAAAAAAAAAAAACTTCTGATGATCACGGAGCTCAGCTGGGATCATCAGAGGCTTTTAAAAGCATTTTTTCTACAACCTCTTCAGCCGAAGAGGTTATAGAAAAAATGTTTTTAAAAGGAAAATAAAGCCTCTGCCGATCAGGCAAGTCACCTGGGATTGTCAGAGGCTTTTAAAAGCATTTTTTTTACAACCTCTTCAGCTGAAGAGATTGTAGAAAAAATGGTTTTAAAAGTAAAAAAAAAAAAAAAAGTTGGCCATGCCCACTCAGTCATATTACCTCCCCACACCAAGCCATGCCCACAGAACTGGTAGTAACAAATTTTACATTTCACCACTGCTTAAACTCCAGGAGGCAAGTGCGAACCAGCAGGAAAACCTTCAGCCCTGACCAAGAATGGAATGATGGAAGCATAGCACAAGAATATGGATTGCAATTTGAATTGGGGGAGGATGTCTCATCACAATATACATTTACCACTTTGGAAAAATAATATACTGAGCATCATGTGCCAGCTTTGCAATTACCCACACGTGTATGACCACAGTGCTCTAAAGAAGTTTACACTTAAAAAATCAGTGAAATAATTGACAACATATTGGGAGGTAGGCAAAACATATCAGTAGCCAACTACAAGAGCCACATAATTGGTACATATGAAATTTTGAATTGGCATTCATTTACAGATATTCAAAATTACATACATTGTGAACTATGTTTAAAACAAGGATTATTTTTCTTTGGCATGACAAATTTCCCTTCAATTTTATCGTAAAACAGAATTGCAACCACGAATCTTAACATTCTGTTTTTCAGGGTGTGTTTATTTTCATGCTAGGTAAGCCAATCTTTGAGGGCTATGCCTCAAAACAGACATAAAATATAAACATGACAATAATATATCACATTATGATTTAAAATGCTGCTTCACATCTATTGTGTAATTGATTTTACATTTTTATATTTTCTACTGTTTCCTTTAATCAGCTTCCTTTCATTTGCTCTTGTTTGGACCATGCTAACTGCTAATACTTTTTTTTTTAATTCCATGCAAAAATTGAGAAACCACAAATTGGCTGTATTGGTAACATTTCTAGACAATTTTTATCACAGCAGCTTGACTGCAATCAGGAAAAGGCAAAAGTAATCAAGGTTAATGCTGCAGGGCCATCTGGGACAGGACATTTATCCAGCTTAAAAACTGTTATCAGTGCAATGCTTTGCAAATTAAGACTGTCTAATAAACTCTTCAAGGGAAATATTCAAAGTCCAGCCCAAATGATCAAACATTTGGACGCCACATAGAAAAAGAGAACACTGTTAGACACCTTCACTTCAGAGGGCATCAAGGAAGCAAATGATGAAAACAGCATCACTCTGTAAAATCTGGTCCATTAGTATGTGCATTGTGACATAACATGGACATATGAAAGGATGGAGCTTGCACCACGCCAACACAGTAACACTTTCATTATTTTGAGACAGAAAATGGTTTTGATCCTTCAAAAGCCTCTGAGTTTCTTTCTTTCTTTCTTTCTTTCTTTCTTTCTTTCTTTCTTTCTTTCTATCTATCTATCTATCTATCTATCTATCTATCTATAATCTATCTATCTATCTATCTATCTATCTATCTATCTATCACAGAACTACCGGTTCTGTGGCTTGGTGGGTGTGGCAGGGGAAGGATACTGCAAAATCTCCATTCCCACCCCACTCCAGGGGAAGAATACTACAAAATTCTCCATTCCCTCCCCATTCCTGGGGGAAGAATATTGCAAAATCTCCATTCCCACCCCATTCTGGGGCCAGCCAGAGGTGGTATTTGCCAGTTCTCCATACTATTCAAAATAACTTATTCAACCATTAGTCATAAAAAAGTCTTTGAGTTACTGCCTATTACAAGATCAAAATGTTATCACCATTTGGGCTACTAGGTCATCATCCCCAACCAAAAATATTGATGCAGACTTCTGGCCAAGAAAAATACTATCCAATTCACTGCTGGCCATTTCATAAACCATTTCTGTAAGCAAGAACATGTCCAAGTTTGGGGGAAAGATAATAAGGATAACAATAACTTCAGGGGAAAAAAATCTAAAAATTGTACCAGCCAAGTAGCCCAAAATCAGCACATAGAAGTATTCTGGACCTATCTGTGTTCACTACTACATCTCCATTTCATCTATACCAGAGGTCAGCAATCTTAAACACTCAAAGAGCCAAAGGTCCTAACCAGAAACCCCCATTCAATTCTGGAGCTGACCAGAAGTCTGGTTCCCCCATCATAGTCTCCTCCTAGTGCTGCGTCCTTTTTCCTCTGCTGACTGGAAGTCCGGTTCCCCCACCATAGAGTCTCCTCCTAGCGCTGCATCCTTTTTTCTCTACCAGTTCTAACCGAAAGCCCTATCAATTGTGGAGCCGCAGCAGAGGGATGAAAGAGCCACATGCAGCTCCAGAGCACATGCGGCCCCTGATCTATACAAGTATATGGAAATGCTATTGATTCTGTATGATTCCTTAGGCGAAGGCAAAGGATGTTAGCTTCACTATAATTCATGACTGTTCTGATCCATCTTGAAAATATGTTGTTGGTCTATTCCAAGCTATCTAAGGTGAAGTAAGTCCCTGGTTGGTTTCTCTCCAACTGCTAGAACTTCAGAAATAGTTTCATGGAACAGCAGAAGAGGACTTCCCAATCAAGTTTGTGAAATGGTATCTTTTTAGAAGATGGGCTCAAGATGATCTGATTCACACAAAGTGTAAGTTGTTTTAAATGAATCAAAATTGGTTGGTTTCCCCCAATGAAAAGCTATAAGCTAAGATTTTCAAAGTATGGAAGCTATATACATATAACTCACTATCCATAGGCAAATATGCCACATGTCTTAGCATGTTGTGAACTAGGCTTCTGTGTTGAACTAGTTCTAACTACAAATCAATACTGATTTTCCCTGAAGAAAAATGAGGAGGAGGAGGATTTCAACTATTCTTAAAGAGAACAATTTAGAAGTATTGTACTAGTGTTAAGATAAACAGACAATGCACACATGCAACTATAGCAGTGATTTCCTTAGGGTAGAATCATTTTCAAGTCAAACAAATTACCAATTACGTGTTTCCTCTTAACAGAATATGAAAGTTAAGTTTTACATTTCATTTCATAATCATAAATGAATTGATGATGTTGCTTTTCATGGTTCCCTCTGGACTCCTGTGGAAAACTACTGGGATCTCAGACACGATATGGATGACCCTTGATTTGCTGTGCCTAATATCCAATTCTAAGATAATCAGGCCTACAGTACAGCTAATATGATATGCATTATGCATCTCCAAAGCAACTTTATTTGTGGGAGAGAGAATTCTCACACAATTAAAAGTAAATTGTCATAAACATGTAATATAACGGGCTTCTTCAGCACATTGCAACTATCTTAAGAGTTGCAGACCTCATTAACGAGACTGTTTTTTTACAACATAGTGAATTCCTGCCCCATTAACAATACCTTCGGGACTCTGTAAGCTCTTTAAAAGCTACTTGAATGAGTACTTTTTAAGTTCACATGCATATCCCATGCACAGTGCTACTTAAGCCCAAAACCTTATTATGGAGAATTATGTTATTCAATTTACAAAATACCCTTTCAACCTTTTTTATCATGCTCTTTTCCTTGGTGCTTTCCTGAGTTAAGCTAGGAAGGTGCAACTCTTCCTTGGTTGAGGGTCACATTTGGCACTAGAGTGGTGTGTGAGTTGGTTGTACTCCATTCTGCAAAATGAAATCAAGACAAGAGAAATTCCCCTCACACGTGATAAATATCTAAATATTCTTCCAAAAGAAGCCCAACAAAAGGATCTTTTCAAAAGATCTCAGGCTGTAGGATATTCAATCCTGCAGTTGTACCTTCACTCTGGCCCATCAATCTTCTTTTTGAGTTCCTGTAAGTGTTGCTTGGGATCATGTTTTCATGATAAATGGTTATTTGGCATGATTGTACCCATTTGTTTATAAGCATTCCAATAATAGTTATAATCCATTAATAATGCAGAGAGAACAAATGAGATTCATCTCTGAAACAGCTTGATCACGGAACAGTGTAAGCAGATGAAAAATAGCAAATGAAAATAGCAATGGTCAATACAATTATGTGAATCCCATCCTCCCAAAATAAAAAATTATAATCAAATACGGACTATTAGTTATTAGTTAGACTATTAGTTACGGACTATGCTGAGATAAACAGTCATATAAGAAATATAAATAAATAAATGCCAGCTATTGGTGGCTGTGGTGTACAATGGCTTAATTTATAATGAAACAGTAATGATAACATTGAAACAATAATATAGGAAATATTTCCTTACTTCTCTAATGCGCTGTGAGCTATTCGTTCTTTTTCCTGTTTCTGTTTTTCTTTGTGCTTCTTCACTCGAATCTCCCATAAACCTCTTATGGCTGAAAAGTCAAATATTATCACCTGATGTCCCATAATGCTGGCATTAAGATTATCTGGAAAAAAAATAGTTTTATTTGAAAAGTGTCATGATAAGGAACAGGAATATCTTATTTAATACTAAGAAAGCCATTTTATTTAAGTAAATAAAATAACAAACAAAAACTAGCAGACTCCATGTCATACAGTGTACATTGTTTTAAAATGCATAGTTATCTTTTTTTTTCAATCCTACAAGTGCCTGAATTGATTTATCCATTAAATGTTATTTATCATCCTACGCATGAGGAGAGGCAGCTTAATTTATGAACCAACTGTAACTTGGATTCAGACATATAAGGCAATTGATTTGGTCATCATCAAAGAGTGTGAAATTGGTAATAATTTTAGTTTATGTATTCAATTTTTTCAACCTGGGAGATTTGCCTGTCATGGGTTTTTATTTTGTAGCTTAGATGCTAAAATAATATGGATGATCTTAGAGAGCCATAAACTTTAACTGGAGTTAATCAGGATTGATAGTAAATATTATAGTAACTGGTGTAAGGCAGAATCTGATACATTGGCATTCATGTGTTGGAGTCCAAGCTACATAATCTCTAACTACTGTGTTTCCCCGAAAATAAGACCCTGTCTTATATTTTTTTGAACCCCGAAATAAGCGCTTGGCCTTATTTTCGGGGAGGTCTTATTATTTTGGGGCACATGAGCAAGAGGTACTCCTCTTGCCATCTTACCTGATTTCCAGCTCTGCTTTTCTAGTCCTAACCAGAGGAAATGGCGGGGACCAGCTGCGCAAGCATTTAAATATATTCAGGGAGGGATTATTTTCGGGGAAGGCTTATTTTAGTGCATGCGCTCAAAAGCCCGATTGGGGTCTTATTTTCAGGGAAACACAGTATCATGTTAGTTGGGGATTACTTATATTAAAAACTCCAAAATGATTGACAACAAAGTAAAGTTGTATGTTTCAATTCATGAGATGAAGTGATACGTGTATTCTACTTGCAATGTATACATTGGGGCACAAGATGTTTGAAGTGTATATAACTTTCTTCTACATAAGCACTGTCTGCAAGTAATGCATTGGAAACCGATTCCTATTTGATTGACGACTGAAAAGATAATATATGCAGTTACATCCATCCATAAGTAGCAAGAGTGACTCTTTTCACACTATTAAAGCAGTTGGATCTTTCTCCAGGTTTACACAATTGCTTCATGGTATGCAGACTGCTAAAATTGTACTTGGGGTTGCTTGGAGAAGAAAATGCATGCACATTCTAATTTACACAGGAGAGACACATCTACCAGATCTGTACACATTTTTCTAGTCACTACTGATTTAAATTTGAATTAATTGCTTTCAAAGGCTGATGCTCATCAGTTGAGAAAACCAGTAGCAAAATTCCAGTTTTAATTGTCTAGGGGATTAATAACATCTCTGTTTTTGAAAAGGGCTCAGTGAGCTCTTTTACAACCAACAGATCCAGCCTTTCTATCTTGTCCAAAGACATGACCTCCAATAGAGTGTCATATTAGAGCTCTGAGACACTACTTCAATATTGAAAGTGACAAGCCAGAGATGTCACTAACAGTGGTAGAAGTCTAATAGTGAATTTGTTTCCGTTGCTTAGAATCAATGGCTGAAAGTGTCACTGTTTCCATGTGATTTCTATCAAGAAGTACAACTAATACATCTGGACTGAGCTTTTGTTATGCTTGCTCATTCATAAAATCATTCACCAAGCCAGCTTGCAGGAACTCTGATGTTACGCAGAAGTCAGGAAGCCTTTCAAGAATAATTGCTTCAACCCAGATTTTTTTTTTTTTTTTTTTTTTTGCATATCTTGAAATTTCATTAGATGTTATCTTTATTAAAGTTAAATAGAGAGTCAGGAATTGTCAATCCAATGAAAGACAAATCATCCTTTCCCCCTTCATTTTCTTAAAGATTAGATATATTCATGGATGGGGGATTTTAGTCATTCTGACTATGTTCACATTTTAAAGACATTGTTCACTTTCTGAATATTGGTTCAGTATGTTGGACAGCACAGAATGAATAGTTTTTTCTTTGAAGTTATTCTTCTGGGATGTGTAGAACTTTTGAATGCAGGATTAAAAAGTGTCTTGCTCATCTTCATTCATTTTTTCTACTAAATATTTTGTTGCTTTTCCATATCTTATTATCTTTCCACATTCTATCCCATCTGATTTTCACAGCCTTTCTTATTGTTATAAATAATTCTAATCTATGACCAACCTTTCTACAAGAGCAGTTAAAAGCTTTCTGCTTTGCAAGACATTTTGCTCCTTCTTTATATCAGATTTATATCTCACTACAATCGTAATAAACTCTCAGTGACTCACAAATAACAACAATACCATAATCATAAACACTTAAAAATAAAATATATACAGATTTCACAGCAGATCATGGCAATAACCTCCAAATGCCTTCCTGAAAAGTTCAGTGTTCAGCTATTTCTGAAAGACAGAAGCAAATGAACCTCCCTGGGAGGCCATTCCAAAGAGACAGCTTTGAAATAGGAAAGCATCATCTATGGGCTTCAGGCTTCCTTACCTCCCAGAAATGGGAAACAGCTTGCTGCTTCTCCTAAAAGATCACAATGATCAGACCAACTCCAATTGAGAGATGTGATCCTACACATAATAAGGGATAAAGACTTGAAATTGCACCTGCAAGCTAACAGGAAGCCTGTATAGGGATCACAAAATCGGTGTGACATGAACCTACTGGCCATCACCCATTAACACCTGGACCATCATGTTTTGTACCAATTGAAACTTCTGGATGGTCTTCTAAAGATGTTCCATATAGAGTGCATTGCTATAGTATAAACAAGCGAAGAGAGCAAGCCACCATAGTCAGAGCCTTCCACTCCAAGTAAGGTCACAATTTGATGCCCCAATTAAGCTGGGCCAAGGTCCCCCTGAGCATTGCCTCCCTACTGATCCAGCAGACTGGAACGGTTCCTTCACAGGAAGTACAACCCTGTCCAGAGACAACACGGGGAACTTCAGTATATAACAGTAGCTTTTTCTTCGTAGGATGTGTAATCCGAATCTATTCTCTCCAATCCATGGTAAAATTTGTGCTATTGATTTTAAGGGTACCTCTCCCCTTTTGTTTATTTTCCCTTTGCTGTGTTGAGAAGGTATCTCGTTTTCCTGATTATGATTGTTTCAATTGATATTTTATTGTTTTAATCATTATTAGCCATTTTAAGAATTGTATGGTCTGGGATATTGTTTTTTTTTTTTAAAGATACATTGATATATCTTAAACATATATTGTTGCTTGAAACAAAGGGCCCTCCCTCCCCTTAAATCTAAGTGGGCTGGCAGCATATTTCAATACTGTTTGCAGACCAGCACCCTTCATTAAGAATTTATATATTCTTAAATCTTAAATTTGAATTGGTATTTCAATTCAAATCTTAAATTTGAATTGGATACTCTGTTTTAATTTGTCTTTTAACTTTTGTATTTTCTCTTTCTTATTGTTGTGAGCCGCCCCGAGTCCTTCGGGAGAAGGGCGGCATATAAATCCAATAAATAAATAAATAATAAATTACATCCCAAAAATAAAAAGCTAATTTAGGAAATATAGGGCACTACAGCCATGAAGCACAACAGGTTGTTATAGTTGCTCTCCACTTCCAAGCATTTGCTAATGGAAGCTACTGCTTCAGTCTGGTTAATGATAGGGCCCATAATAAGAGATAATTAAAAATAAATGGGATTTTTTTCTCCATATTCCAAAAGATAGGCTAAAATTACCATAAGAAATCCCAAAGGTGCTTTTTCAAGAGGCAACTGAACTTTCTGGTTTTTCTTTGAAGACGTTTCACTTTTCATCCAAGAAGCTTCTTTAGTTCTTCTTGGATGAGGAGCAGAACATCTTCAAAGAAAAACCAGAAAGTCCAGTTGCCCCTTGAAAAAAAGCACCTTTGGGACAACCAGAAACCTGGATGACTGAGAATCTCCATAGACATACCATAAGTTATATTTCACACTTGTCATATTTATGGCAGTGGTGAAATCCAATTTTTTTTTACTACCGGTTCTGTGGGCATAGCATGGTGGGTGTGCTGTGGCTTGATGGGCGTGGCAGGGGAAGGATACTGCAAAACCTCCATTTCTACCCCACTCCAGGGGAAAGATACTGCAAAAACCCCATTCCCTCCCCACTCCTGAGAGAAGGAGATTGCAAAATCTCCATTCCCACCCCACTCTGGGGCCACCCAGAGGTGGTATTTGCCAGTTCTCTGAACTACTCAAAATTTCCGCTACCAGTTCTCCAGAACCTGTCAGAACCTGCTGGATTTCACCCCTGTTTTATGGCTATTCTATAACCCCCTCAATTAGTACCAATACTAAGTTGCATGTTACTTCAAATATACTGTAATAGCATGTGCTTCAGAAATAGTAATATTTACTTATGCTTTCATTGTTTATTTTATGCTTGTTATAGTATAAAGTATCTATGAGCTCATAACAATATCATAAAGGGATAAACACATTACAGCATTATGCCTAATATTTGCAGAGATTGTTTATTGACAAGGTGTCAGCTCCCAGCAAGAGACAATTGGCAATTTATTATTCTAGACATGCATGCAAGCAAAATATTATGCAGTGGTATAATATGTAACTAGAAAAATAAGGGGGAAATATATTTTGAAGTATCCTAAGAAGACACTAAAATGAGCAACCTTTTTTCCCCTCAACTGGTATTTATTAAATCTAAAAAATTGACCAACTCCATAAAGACTTTGGGTAGCAAATAACATTAAAAACTTAAGAATCAGTCAAGCAAAGAACAGAATGATGTATATCCAGAAGAGGAAAGATTCCAGGTAACAGCTCTCCACACACACACAAACCTAACCATAACAGGCCTATGAGACACCTTAAAACAAAGTTCCATGGGAAAAAGCCAGCTATCAAAAACCTTTTAAACACAGCCTAAATGGGAACCATGCATTTGTCTGGGAAGATGCTGTTCCAGAAGGTAGTGAGGCTGTGA